GGATCAGTGTTGAATCTCCAACTCAAACCTTCCTTTTTGGTGAATGTGGTGTGTGTCTCTCTCTGTCCCCCCAAAAAAAAAAATAAATAAATAAATAAAAATAAAAACGTTGAAAAGAAAAGTCACAGCACAGATTCCAGAACACCGGAGGAGGGCGGAGACTGACCCTACTTTCACCAAAAAGGAAGGTTTGAGTTGGAGATTCAACACTGATCCACACCAGCCCTGGTGACAGCATCGAGGGTCCAAATGATCAGAACCCAGGGACGTGGGCTGGTACGGGGACACGACAGCTGCCAAGTGCAGGGTCATCTACTCCGCTCAGTCCCTGTAAGAGACCTCTGTTTGCAACCCAAGGAAGCGGAAGCTCAAAGATGTCAAGGCATCTGCCCGGGTCACTGCAGGTCTCGGCTGGCTGGGGTGAGTGCAAACCACATTCTCCGGCTCCAACGTGAACCTCACCAAGTACAGAATGGGAACCAAGTCCTGCGAAGAGACGCGTGGTTTCGAGAGGATTTCAAGCTTGAGGACAACGTGATGTGGCTGCCACAAGAGCTTCCACGCAACTACAGCTACAGAGATGAACCGTTACCGGTGCCTGGTCAGGGGCAGCCCAGCTGCGCGGTGTCGGCCCCTCTCCCTCCGGGCTGCCCGGCCCGGCCACGTCTGCAGGGCAGGACTCAGTTTAGGGTGCTGGGTTTTAAGAAACCCGTGGGCAAAGCTGGAGGTCCGGTGCTTGCAAGGTCTCGACACCCTGACCCCAAGAAATGGGCAGGAATGGGGTATCTGGCCTGCCCCTGGCACTGGCGACCCTGAGGAGCCTCGAGCCTCAGAGATCACAAGGGCCCCCACCAAACAGAAGTGAGAGCACTCCCGAACTCGGAAGTGATAGCCACTCCCCACCACGTCAAGTTTCCTGAACACCCTTTGTCCTCCCACAAAGCACGGTCTCTCGCCGCCTTCCCCAGCTCCGCGCAGGAGCTAAATTCCTGGCAACCTCGGGGAAGTGACGAGGCTGAGCTCACCGAGGGCCCCGTCTTAAATGAGCGCCAACAGCCCAAAGTAAGGCTGGGACTGTCAGCAGAGGGCTTTGGGCCGCCAGGGTTAAGTACAAGCACACCAGCAACCCAACCTCTTGGGTATCATCTCTGCTTCCGATCAACCTTCAAGGGAACAGAAGGGCAGGACAACACCAGTCGCCCAAAGGTACAAAAGGTCTGGGGTGAGGGTAGGGGGAGAGTGAGGAGGCCTGGTCTTCTCTAGGAGCAGACTGACTCCCCAGGAGGACACAAGGGGTCCCTACGCTTGTGGCAGGGGATCCGAGCCCAAGGAAAAGCCTGGCAGGGACCAGGGACCGGAAAAGGGAAGGAAGACATGGGCTGGGGGTGCGGGCAAGGGGCCCTGGCGCACACAGACGTGTTTCCACAGCCCCCCTGCCCACACCCCTGCTGACTCCCTCCACACCTGGTCAGGGTCAGCTTGCTGGAAACGCTGACCCACCAAAAATAGAATGATTTTTGCAATGCATATATTATTACATCCTTATAAAAGCGGCTGCCAGAGGAAAACATTTTTATGTGCTGTGGCCGCACAGATGTTCCACAAAGTGGATCCAACCAAGTCTGAAGTCAGAGCCCAGCCCGCCTGTCCCCATCAAGCTCTTCTCCTCCGCTGTGCCCTGGAGACGGGAAGGACACGGTAAGTACGTGGACACAGTAAGTAAGCAGGCCGTCTTCCTCAAGTCCAGTCTCTCCCGTGGCCATGTGGCATTTTCCAACAGGCGCAGCCTAGAGGGTGGGACCCTGAAGGGAGCCAGCCCCGCTCCGTGTCCCGCTCTGGAGCCCAAGGGGTGAGGGCCTTGGCCTGCCCATACCTCCATTTCCAGGCCTCTACCTGGGCCCACTACGTGCCCAGGACAGGGCTTGGCAGAACGGCAGCTCCATTCCCGGGACTCCTCCGGTCCTGGCTCTCAGGCAGAAGCCAGAGACGTCCTCCTGCTGACTGAGCTGTGCTCTGGGTAAGAGCTGGGCTGGAGGCCAGGACTTAACACGCTGTCAAGCCAGAAGACGTGGTCAGACAGCCTCTCAAGGAAGGTTCGGTGTGCCCAGTTTAGGGAAATTTTAATTGAGCCTAGAACTGCACATATTCTAGAAGACGGAAAAGTCTCTGCTTATAGGGTATGCGGTAGAAGGTATTTCTGAATAATAACAGAAATAGTTATTATTTATTGAGCACAGACCATGTGTCCAAATGGTTTTTTATTTTTCCTCTACAACAGCTTTTCCAAACAGGTGTTATTAGCTCAACGGTGAGAACGCGGAGACTCAGAGAAGGGGGGTGGACTGTCCGGATCACACAGCTGGTAAGGGAGAAGGGTAGGACTGACCCAGCTCTGGACAATCCTGGAGCTTGTTTTTCTTCCATGAGACCTCTCCGTGGGCTCAACTTCATGCACATTCTTTCCCAGAAAAATCAAAGACAAACCACAATCCGGGGCTTGGAAATTCTGACCAGTACCCCACCTCTCCACCTCCCTCCCCCGCAGGGCCCCCTGCGGATCTCCAGTCCCTTCCTCTCCTGCCTGTCCCTAGAAGCTGATCCCGCCCAGTGCTGATCCAGGCCACCTCACGGAGCACAAAGAAGCAAGCAAGTGCTCCCTGAGCTGTGGGCCGTGCTCGCCTGCCTCCTGAAGACGCCACGGGCCTCGTTCCCCTGCTAGAACATACCGCCTGGCCTAACTGCCAAGCTCAAGTCAAAGGGGATGTCCCTGCCATGACACAAGGGCAGGTGACTGCCTTGGAGTTTTCTGGCTTAAAGACAAGTCATAGGGCGCCTGTATCTGAGTGGGGAGAGAGCTCAGCTTGCAAAGGACCTGCCTGATCCCCCCACTCGACACAACATTCCACCTTCGTTTCTAAATGTTTAGAATCTGAAAAAACTATCAAACGAACATCTGGGCCCACCCCGGATCGGAAACCTTGGATCTCCTTCCAGAGATTTATGGTCTTGCCTCTTTCCCACGTCTCCAGCTGTCACACAGGAGAAGTGACCTCTCAATGCAACTTCCTTTCTAACATGTTGGTACTTGGCTTGCAACGTCTTTTACTTGCTCTACAGCCTTCCCCCTGGGGCCCAGGTGGCAGTCGGCCAGAGGGCACCTTCCGCCCTCCTCCCCTGGAAGGACCATATGATTTGGCTGTGAGGAGCTCCCATAAGCACCGCTGCGCACCCTTCCTCCCCAGCCCCCCAGCCGCCTGGATTTGCCCCGATGCTTGTTCCACCTGTTCCACCTTCCAGCCCGTGTCCTCAGGAGGCCTTGCTAGGCAGAGGGAGGGTGGAGGCAAGAAAGGGCCAAAGGGGAGGTGACGGGAGAGGGCGCCGAGGGAGCGCAGGCTAGCGCGCCCCTGGTCTGAGCCCACCGGAGAGCCTCTGCAGCCTAGGTGTTGTGAGCAGGGGGGAAAGGCGGCCGTTGTTAAATTCACCAACGATTTAAAGAAAGCTCTCCATGTCTGGGGCACCTGGGCGGCTCAGTCGGTTAAGCAGCTGACTTCAGCTCAGGTCCTGATCTCCCAGTTTGTGAGTTCCAGCCCTGCATCGGGCTCTGTGCTGACAGCTCGGAGCCTGGAGCCTGCTTCGGATTCTTGTCTCCCTCTCTCTCTGCCCCTCCCCAACTCATGCTCTGTCTCTATCAAAAATACACATCAAAAAAACAAACAAAAAAGGAAGCTCTCCAAGTCCTGCACTTATGCTCCCAGCCACTGAACTGAGAGAGAAGAGGACTGGGGGCAAAGCCTCCAAAGCTGGGGAGGGACCCCTGGGGGCCTCTGTGGGGGAGTGCTCCCGACCACTGGCCAGGACAGCTTGTAGGGTGGGTGCCTGGTGACACGGGTCCTTCCTTCCAGACACACACGAGGCAGGGGTGAGTGTGTGGCCGCGGGGAGGCCTAGCTTCCAGAGGGAAAGCCTGGGTCTGGTCACCGCGGGCATGGCTTGGTAGAGGAGCTCAAATGAGGAAGCCTCCCCTGACCCCATCGCTCACGTCATGACGGGTCACCCACGCCCCGCCCCTCCTGCCTTGTTCTTCTTTGTTACTACCAGCCTCGGGGCTGACACCAGCTCATCGACTGACCTCCTGGCTGCTGGGCCCAGAGGACAGATTAAGAGCAGAAAGTACAGTGTGGTACAAGGTAGCCGTCTTTTTTTTTCTAGACAGACAAATCTGGCTCCGCCTCCTACTAGACAAATCAGCACGAGGACATTACATAACGGTTCAAACGTCGGTCTCCTCCTCCTGTCGGTTAAACAGGGAGGGGAACGCCACCTCGCTTACAATCGAATCAAGGGGGCAGCCCCCCAAAGCACCACGCGTCGCCCACTCTTTATCACCAGCTTTCCTGGAACCTCTTGGTTCCTGATCCAAGACAACCGGACGTTTTCCCGAGGTTCATCCGGGACACACAGCTAAACCCACAGCCCTCATTTCCTGTTTGCTCGGAAGCCACGCACCATTAGCCGAGACCTGTCTCCCTGGCCGCGGCCCTGCCCCTCCTCTCAGTTACTTACCTTGGAAACCGGCCCCAGCTTTAATGCACCTCGGATGAATTATGCGACCGGCCGTTAGGATGACAGAAGCACGAACCTCCTCATTAAAGGCCGAGGGCACAAGGCGACACAAACGGGCCCGCGGCCCCGGCCTGGCGGGCTGAGGACAGCCACTCGTCAGGCCCGTGTGGCTTGGCAGCAGGCATCGCTCACGGCCAACCGGAACCAGGCCCTGGCCGTGGGCTGGCGGCTCCGACCGAAACTACCAGGAAGGCTGAGGATTAAATATTTGTCCGGGTCGCTGTAAACCAGTGGAATTATAAACAGTTTGGAGCGGTAAGTGGTGCAGGAAGCTGTCTCCGGATACAGATTTAGGATTTTCCACCGTCGCCCGGGTGGCAGGGGGAGGGGGAGGGGGAGGCAGGCTTCGGTACAGCTGGCCGTCCGGGCTCAGCTGCCCTCCCCGCCAAGGGTTCCTGGAGGACAAGGGCCTGTTTCCACGCAAAATGATGGGCCTCGGGTCTGAGATGAGCGGGGACAGCCCCGCCGAGGGGCCAGAGACAGGGACCCCCAAGATCCCCGGCGGCTTCAGGCCCCTCTTACTCGGCAGAGTCAGCGGAGGCTTAGCATGGGGTGGGGGGGTTGGTCTAAGGCCCTGGGACGCATCCCAGGCATGTTGACAAAACGTCCACCCTGCCCTCTTTCAAATGCATGTACGCACTTTTCTGCTGAGCCCACGAGCCCACAAACCTACGTGAGTCACTAAATTCATCTTTTCCGCAATCTATTTTTTTTTATCAAATACGGCTATTAAAAGTATTGGAGTTATTAACGTTAAAACATTACGGAGCGCCTGGATGACTCAGTTGGTTCGGCTTAGGTCATGATCTCACAGTCCGTGAGGTCGAGCCCCGCATCGGGCTCTGTGCTGACAGCTCAGAGCCTGGAGCTGCTTTTGGACTCTGTGTCTCCCTCTCTCTCTGTGCCTCCCCCACTCACACTCTGTTTCTCTCTCTCAAAAACAAACTAACATTAAAAAAAATATTAAAAAAAAAAAACATTAAAAAATCGTTTGCTGTCAAAAGGGACCCTCGGGCACTACTGGCCGGGGCAGAGGCGAGGTTCTCTGCACGGAAGAGGGCTTCCTCCGAAGGCCATTCTCAAGACCACCACACTGCTGCCAACGGACTTCTGGGAGCCCAGGGAGCCCAGGTGCTACAGGGTCTGCCCTTTCTCTTCGACCCCGCCCCTTTCTTCCTAAGACATCTCACTATGGTTTTTTTTGTTTTTAATTTTAATTGAGAGAGAGAGAGAGAGAGAGAGAGAGAGCGCACGAGCGCACACGCGTGCATGCAAGCAGGGGAGAGCGGCAGAGGGGGAGAGAAAAGAGAGAATCTTAAGCAGGCTCCACACTCAGCACGGAGCCCCACACGGGGTTCGATCCCAGGAACCGTGAGTCACGACCTGAGCCAAAATCAAGAGTTGGGCACTTGACGGAGCCACCCAGGCGCCCGCCCCTTCTCTGCCCTGTACACAGAGACACCCCACTGCACTGCACCAGCTCCCGGTAAAGGCCTTTCTTCCAGGTGGGGCGGCTGACGGTCCTACACGCAGAGGCTTCAAGTGGCATCTGAAGTGCCAGTTCGGCCCAGTCTGCTCTGCAGGAAGCAGCAACTCCCAGCCTCCAGCTCCCAGGTCACCTAGACACACCTGGAGGGGACATCTGGGACACGGGCTGCTGAGGACACCTAAGCAGAAGGCGGGTGAGAGGCACGTGGTAGATGCGACATTCTGATCTGTGAGAAATGGACGCTTTCATTCCAGTGACCTAAATATAATTCTCATACACACCGGTCTTCCTCCACGGCTCCCACCCAGCTCGTGGCTCCCAAAGCCTTGCAATTTCCTGAGCCACAGTGGGACCGTCTTTTGTCGTAATGGTCTTTGGTCTCCTGTCCTCAGCGTCTGAAATCACTTGGGAGCCATACAGGTGAAATGGGCTTATGTTAGGAGGAGATTCTGGAAAGCACCTCAAAATGGGGGCTGGTTGCCAGGGGATCTTTCGGTCCCCCCGATTTCCCGGCAGGGGCGAAGGAGGGAGATTCAAAGAGTTTCCAGGTTGGGGAACAGAACGCTTCCAAGTGCCGCCATGCCGGGCGCCAAGCTCACGCTCCACGAGGACAGAAGACAGAAGCCCCTTTGTTTAAGACCTCGGCCTCTGCTTTGTCTTCATTCGGCCGTCCATCTGTATCCTCTAATATCCTCTGTAGGAAACCGGCGCTCAAACGAGTAAATGGGTTTCCTGAGTTCTGGGAGCCACTCCAGCAGATTAATCGAACCCATGGAGGGGTCTGCTGACGTGTGGCTGGTCAGCCAGCACAGGTGGCTTGCAAGTGGCATCTGAAGATACCTGTTGCGGGGAGGGCCTGGGCCCCTAACTGGTGGGATACAACGCCATCTCCAGGTGGACAGGGTCCGAGCAAGGTGAACTACAGGACGCCCTGCCAGTGTCCAGAGCGCTGCTCGCTGGCGACGTGGGGCACCACCCTCACCCACGACAGAACTGTCGAGTGTCCATGTGCATGCAGATTCCCTGGAAAATTCTGCTGAGTGCAGATCCCAATGTGGCGGGTCCGGGTAGGGCCGAAGATCTCTGCGTGTCCGAAGAGCTCTTTGGTGCTGCCGACGTGAGGCCGGGAGTGGGCTGTGGGCGGCAAGGCGGATGCCCTCGGGCTGCCGAGGAAGGCTTGCAGAGATGGCCCGAGCCAGCAGCTGTTCGTGGCCGGAGGTACACAGACGTGGTGAGCCCCGGTGAGGGCGAAGAGAAGAAGCCGTGGCCACGCCTGCAGCCCCTCGGCCCCCCGGAGGCACGGAGCCGGACGGAAGTGGCAGGTGGTGTTCGGCCATAGACTGCTGCACGGTCTTTGCTTTGAAAAGGTGAAGCCCTTTAAGCGTCCGACTCTCGACTTCAGCTCCGGTCATGATCTCACGGTTCATGAGCTCGAGCCCCATGGCGGACTCTTGTGCTGGCAGTGCAGAGCATGCTTGGAATTCCGTCTCCTTCTCTCTGTCCCTTCCCTACTTGCTCTCCCTCTCTCAAATAAAAATACACTTTAAAAAAGGAAGCCCGGGCTCACACTGGATGTACGGCTGGCTCCACGACACCCCCTAAAAAAAAAGGACTGTGCGAAAGATGATTACCAGATGATGCCTCCGCTGAGGGAGTCTCTGGCAGCCACACTGGAGGGTTCTGAATCTGGCCCCGAGCTCAAAGGGAAGCCACAGTCATCTTGGTTCATGTGCAAGTAACAAAACCAGAAGGAAGGGCTAACACCTGGACAACTGAAACCAGGATCGAACGTCGAGTGTCGAGAGAATGGGTAAAACCCAAAAAGTGAGGCCAAGTGTAAAATCTCATCTGAAAGAAGGCCAAGTGCACGAGAGCACGACGGGAAATCCCGGGCCCTCGGTGGCTCGTGGGAGGAAGAGGGGTAGGGGGGCACCTGTGGGCTCGTGAGGTGCCAACCGAAGCGATCCTGGGCGCAGTGGAGGAGA